TTAATTCATTTGTATCATGATTAGTAAAGGAATGTCAGGTATGAAGTATCTATTATATTTCTGATTCACTGTCCTTCCCATGTTCTAAATTCATTTGTATCATGATTAGTAAAGGAATGTCAGGTATGAAGTATCTATTTTATTTCTGACACTGAGAAGACACTGAATTCTCCTATATGATAATACTATTGCCATCCCACATGAGAAAATTAACAACTTCAATAATAAAAAGGTATACTTTATATTTCAATTTCCAAATATTTTCCCAAATACATTTATAGTTTTTTTTTTAAATCAAGGATCCTATCAAGGTTCATGTATTATATTTGATTATTTTGTGTTTTAAGTTTGTTTTAATTTATCAAGTTCCCTCTACACACTTCCTATCTTTTAATTTAATTTTTTGGCTTTGTTCATTCCTCTTCTCAATGCCATTTACTATATTTCACTCAAATATAGTCCTCTTTGGTTACTTTGTAATTTAATATTTACTTCTGAAATATTTTTGACAGATTTTAAAATTTCTTTATCAAATTTACTTGACGTTTTTTTCATCTGTTGCTATTTTTGTGCACTTCCATTCTAAGCTTTTTAAAAATTCTGATTGCCAGTGTTGTTTCCTATTCGTCAACGCCTTTTAGTTGTGGCTAAGTCATGTTGGGGACTTATTTTATAGTCTTCCTCAATTTTGTAAATATTTGGATAATATTTTTCTCAGCTGAAAATTTTATTTTACCCTTTCATTTTGTTGTTTTAGAAGTGTTATATGTATGTTCATTATTTTCTGTTGCTTCAAAGTTTTTGGAGGTTTCCTGATACAGCAAGAAAACTTGTTTGTATGAAGGAAGTCATCTTTTGTGACTGGTTTACTATGTTTCATCCTATAGTTGTTAATGCTCTCTGTTACTAGACATGTTGTACATTTTTTCAGTAAGTGGTGCTATTTTGGGATTGGATGAGTTGGTACTTGTTTTTGATACTCATGTTTTCGTTAAGACCCTAATTTTTGCCTCTTGCTTCCCCTTCATCCTCAAGGCTGTAAGATTTGCCTCCCACTTCAAATTGCCTCCCACCTCCAAAAGAGTATGCTTTTAATAGATGGATGACCCTGGTCCCCTGTATATACGCATACCCTTCTATTTTTTGATCTTCAGTAGTCAGTGCTCTGATCCACAAGACTCGGACCTATTTTCAGTATTTCCCATTCAGAATGTGATCTTAATTTTCTAGGGATGATTTTTTACTCAATTATCCTTTCTCTCTGATAAGACTGATGACTATGTATTATAAAAGTTACCCTTAATCATACTAATAGTATGGGACTGAAGTTTTAGCTCTGGAACCCTTATTAGAAATTTCACTTTATCTTATAGTGAGTCATCAGTCAGCATCTGTTTGGAGTCATTTATACACACCAGGACACATCTAATTAATGATACTAACATCTAGTTATTCTTTTAAAAAAGTTAACATTTTAAAATACGTTGATTAAACTTCAGTTAAATTATGTTTGTGGTATTTCTTTTTCTCCAAGTCAAGTAAATTACTTTATGTGTCTTTAAACTATTAATACAAAATTTACTAATATTTATTGAATGCCTGTCAAAGACTAGTTATCCTTCTTTGCAATGGAGAGAAGAAGATACAGTAAGACATAATTCCAGCACTCAAGGAGCTCAATCTTAATTGTGAGAGGCAGATAAATATATAAATAATTATAGTACAGTGGGTTAAATAATTCATGATTAATAATGTACAAGTGCTATGGTGTATTAGTGAGTTCTCCAGAGCAAGAGAATAGGATAAAGATACATAGCTATCCATATCTATGTCTAGATAAATGAAAAATTGGCTCACACAATTATGAAGGCTGAGAAGTCCCAAGAGCTGCCAACTGAAAGCTGGAGACCCAGGAAAGACAGTTGTGTGATTCAGTCCAAGTCTGAAGGCCAGAGGACCAGGTGAGCTGATGGTGTAAATTCTAGTCTAAGGTCAGAAGAAGATGAGATGTCCCAGCTCAAGCAATGAGGCTTGAGAAAAAGAAGTGAATTTTTCCTTCCCTCCACTTTTTGTTCTATTCTCAGTGGATTGGATGATGCTCGTCCACATTAGGGAGGGCAGTCTACTGAGTCCACCAATTCAAACAGTAATGTCATTTGGAAAGCTCCTCCCAGACACATCCAGAAATAATGTTTGCTCCAGACACTCTATGGCCTGCTTGAGTTGACACACAACATTCACTATCACATTGGGAATATAAGAGCAAAGTTTCTAGCTCTGAGACAGTCAAGGAAACGTCCTTAAGTAGGTGACAATTAAATGGGTCTTGATGAAAGATTATAGGTTTGAAATAAGGTGAAGGTAGAAGGGAGAGAAATTTCTTATCTAAGTCACTAGCATGTGGAGAGGGATATAGGCCCCAATTATATTTTATATTTATGGAAAATCAACTTAAAAAGTTGAAGTGTTGGATAGACTTTCTGCAAAGTGATGACAAGTATCTAAAATAGATCAAAATCACCCAGAAACGTTCTCTAAACTGTATCCATGACAGAGGTCAGCATGCCTAGAGATCATATACATTTATATATATATGTGTATATATATGTTTATATATATACAAAGTTGGGGTGTGTGTGTATATGTATGTAGTTTAAGGTGTGTGTAATGGGTGTTCACATCTTTTATTATAGTAGAATTTTATTATACTCTAAATAAAAATCATCTTCACCCAATTTTATTTTCACTACTGATTTTTAAATAGATGAGCTTGGGGAGTACTCAAGAATATCTCTATTAAGTGGGGATTATAGGAAGATTTGAAGCACTAGAATTGGATGTCCATCTGAATGTAGGAGAAGAATTACGGAGAATGTATTGTGGCTAATCATAGATAAAGGATCAAAATAGGTGAGCAGCTGAAAGAAAAACCAGAGAGGGTAGGTCACTGACTCTCTTGAGAAACATTTACAACATCATACAAGAATGACATTCACATCAGAATATTTATTCTTGCCAAGTTGATTAATAGATACTTATCCGGATAGTAGTGGATTGATAAGGTAATATCTATTTTAATTACTTTCTATTGCATAAACCGTTATTATTTCTTATGCATTCTTGAAATTCTCAGGTGTTGCATATATCTAAGTAATATAATCTGCCACTGTCTCTACCTTATTTATTTACCAGTATAACAACAAAGAGTAATGGATTGAAAGAAGTAAGATGTAAAATAAGAGTTAAATAAATTTTGAAAAGAAACAAACAAAATCATTGAAGAAATTAAAAAATTACAAGTTCCCAAGAAAGAGTACATTAGACTGAAAGTAAAATAAGAGCTATTGAGCAATGAAATAGAAATAGCTAAATAATGAACTTGAAATAATTAAAGGGGTATAAAATATTAGAGAAAAATAGGCAAGATTAAAATGATTGAGGTAGGCCAAGTAGATTCATTATATATATTTGGGATTTATAAATAACAAAAGCAATACAATGAAAAAATATAATATTTAACACTATGTTTGATCACCATCTTGAAATGGAGATAGTTTTGAATATGCGTAATGAAAAGATTCACTATGTATCTAGGAAAGTGACCTAGAACAGATACATCTGTGATAAAACCATTAGACTTTGAAAGTGAAGAAAAAATTCCAGGAATATAAAATACCACATGCAAGAAATATAAATTATGCCAGTATCAGATTTGTTAATAGAACCAATAAGCAAGAGAACAATTTATTTTCCTAAGTATTTCCTTTAATTAGGAAAGAGGGAGACAACGGATGACTGAGAAAGTATTTTTCAAAAGAACAGTTGATAAACACAATCATATTTCAATATCAAATGAAGAAAATTTCAGTCCAAAAATGATAACTGAAAAGATTTTTAATTCTAAATGCCCAATTTCAGTAGGGTCATACATGTATGAATGTCTGTGCATCATGTAACAATTACCTTCATAAAATAGAAACTACATGAGGTGAAGGGCGAAATAAATACATACAAAACATTGAGAGACTTTAATACTATTCTCAGTCCTTAGGACAAGTGGGCAAAAAGTAAGAATAAAAAGATTGAACATAATAAAACAGACCTTACTGATATATATGTAGATTCTCACACACCAGTAGTAAAAAATATTTTTTCTTCTCATAATTCTTTTAAGACACGTATGAATCTTTAAAGAAAAAGTTATCCTATATTCTGGGGGCTACAGCATCTATAGATTTAATATGTATAATAATGGTCTAATGGACAGGAGCACAAGTGTATTTTTTCAAGGCTCTTACATTTTATATAGAGTGTTGTAGTATCAACTCTAATAGACTGTGATAATTTAATGGTGCATATTATAATCCCAGTAAGAAACACTATAATCAAAAAGGTACATCTAATGTGTCAATGAAGGAATTAAAATAAAAACTTAAAAGTATTTAATCTAGAAGATGATAGGAAAGGAAAAATAGAAGAAAAAATATAGATGGGACAAATTTAAAGAGATAGGAAATGGTGTACCTAAATAAAAATATCAAAAGTTAATATTCTATGTAAATGGACTAAATACTACAATTAAAAATCAGACACTGTCAGTCTAATTCTATGATGTTTATGTGTGATATACTTTAAAGACAGATTGAAATTACAATGATGAAAAAAGTTATTCAAACAGTAAGCTTAAGAAATCTGGAGGTGTTATGCAATATTAGAAAGAGGAGACTTTAAGGCAAGAGATTCTACCAGATGTAGAGAGGCCATCAGTATATTCCAAGATAATCTCCCCATATCAAAAGCCTTAATGTAATCATATTTTCAAAGTCCTTTTTTGCCATACAAGGTACAAATGCCTTTTGAGTGCCATATATTCAGTTTCTGAAGATTAGGATCTGGATATCATTTGGTGGGAAGCATTATTCAGCCTACCACAGCCTGTAACTGAAAGCTTCTCTATACTTCCAAGCACTTGGGAATTGATTTAAAAATTAAAAAATAGGCGTTCAGGGGACACGCGGGCCTCCCTCTCAGAACTCGCCCCTCCCCCACGCGCCGCCGTCACCCGGGAAACCGGCCGCAATCACCCGCAGACCTGAAGCTGGTTTCATGGCAGCCTCAAATAAGGCAGTTTTGGGGCCATTGGTGGGGGCAGTGGACCAGGGCACCAGTTCGACACGCTTTTTGGTTTTCAATTCAAAAACAGCTGAACTGCTCAGTCATCATCAAGTGGAACTAAAACAAGAGTTTCCCAGAGAAGGATGGGTGGAACAAGACCCTAAGGAAATTCTGCATTCTGTCTATGAGTGTATAGAGAAAACATGTGAGAAACTCGGACAGCTCAATATTGATATTTCCAACATCAAAGCTATTGGCGTCAGCAACCAGAGAGAAACCACTGTAGTCTGGGACAAGTTAACTGGAGAGCCTCTCTACAATGCTGTGGTGTGGCTTGATCTAAGAACACAGTCTACTGTTGAGAATCTTGGTAAAAGAATTCCAAGAAATAATAACTTTGTCAAGTCCAAGACAGGCCTTCCACTTAGCACTTACTTCAGCGCTGTGAAACTTCGTTGGCTCCTTGACAATGTGAGAAAAGTTCAAAAGGCTGTTGAAGAAAAACGAGCGCTTTTTGGGACTATTGATTCATGGCTTATCTGGAGTTTGACGGGAGGAGTCAATGGAGGTGTCCACCATACGGATGTAACAAACGCAAGTAGGACTATGCTTTTCAACATTCATTCTTTGGAATGGGATAAAGAGCTCTGTGAATTTTTTGGAATTCCAATGGAAATTCTTCCAAATGTCCGGAGTTCTTCTGAGATCTATGGCCTAATGAAAGCTGGGGCCCTGGAAGGTGTGCCAATATCTGGGTGTTTAGGGGACCAGTCTGCTGCATTGGTGGGACAAATGTGCTTCCAGAATGGACAAGCCAAAAATACGTATGGAACAGGATGTTTCTTGCTGTGTAATACAGGCCATACGTGTGTGTTTTCTGATCATGGCCTTCTCACCACAGTGGCTTACAAACTTGGCAGAGACAAACCGGTATATTATGCATTGGAAGGTTCTGTAGCTATAGCTGGTGCTGTTATTCGCTGGCTAAGAGACAATCTTGGAATTATAAAGACCTCAGAAGAAATTGAAAAACTTGCTAAAGAAGTAGGCACTTCTTATGGCTGCTACTTTGTCCCAGCATTTTCGGGGTTATATGCACCTTATTGGGAGCCCAGTGCAAGAGGGATAATCTGCGGACTCACTCAGTTCACCAATAAATGCCATATTGCTTTTGCTGCCTTAGAAGCTGTTTGTTTCCAAACTCGAGAGATTCTGGATGCCATGAATCGAGACTGTGGAATTCCACTCAGCCATTTGCAGGTAGATGGAGGAATGACCAGCAACAAAATTCTTATGCAGTTACAAGCAGACATTCTGTATATTCCGGTAGTGAGATCCCTGATGCCTGAAACCACTGCACTGGGTGCTGCCATGGCAGCAGGGGCTGCGGAAGGAGTCGGCGTGTGGAGTCTCGAACCTGAGGATTTGTCCACCGTCACGATGGAACGGTTTGAACCTCAGATTAATGCTGAGGAAAGTGAAATTCGTTATTCTACATGGAAGAAAGCAGTGATGAAGTCAATGGGTTGGGTTACAACTCAAACTCCAGAAAGTGGTGACCCTTGTATCTTCTGCAGTCTGCCCTTGGGCTTTTTTATAGTGAGTAGCATGGTAATGTTAATTGGAGCAAGGTACATCTCAGGTATCCCATAAATATTACCAACTCATGGATTCCCAAGATGCGAGCTTCTTACATAATGAAAGAATCCAGCAATTCTGTCTCTTAATGCGATGACACTGTTCATAGACTTTGAGTTTATTTATAAGCCGCTTGCTGCATGACCCTCCAAGTAGACCTGTGGCTTAAAATAAAGAAAATACAGCAAAAACAATGCTATGGAAACATCTGTGATTTCTTTCTTTTTTTTAATTTTTTAACATCTACAGTTAAGGTTAGGCCAGCTACCCTTGGGACTGACCCCCTCCATTGCCGTAACATCTTTCTCCATTCCCTCTAAGATCTAGGAAGAATTCGGATCCTACTATTGAAATCTTACATCAGACATACTCAAACACTATTGGATGAGGCTCTGAGTCTCTGCATGACATATATTTGATTAAAATATTATTACTAACCTGTTAAAAATAAGCAGCTCTTTGCTTTCACTTTTCTACATAGTAGAAGACAGCAACATCTTCAATGAATGTTTGAATAGAAACCTTTACTAAATTATTAAAATAGACATTTAGTGTTCTCACAGCTTGGATATTTTCCTGAAAAGTATTTGCCAAAACTGAAATCCTTCAGCTATTTTCCATGGTCCCACTAATTATAATGACTTTCTGTCTGGATCTTATAGGAAAGGACACTTTATTTTTTCTTCCATCTTTCCTTTTTATATTTTTTACTTTGTATGTATAACATACGTGCCTATTTATCTTATATACTGAGGGTAGTCCATTTATAAATTAAGAGCACATTATATTCAGAAGGTTCTAACAGAGCTGGTCTTAAGTGAACCACCAGGCATATAAATATGTTAGAAAACAGCTGTATACATTTTTGGGCAATCGTTATGCATAATATTTACGGGGAGAATTTTTTTCCTAAAGAGCCAACATTTAAAATTTATGTTTTAAGTCAATAAAAGAAAATATACTTAAAACAATTAAAAAATAAATAAAAGCTTTTCTATAAAGGCAATTACTGGCCTAGGTGTTCTCACTGATGAACACTTCTTAGCAATGTAGGAAGAAATAATATTTTTCCACAAAATAAAAAAAGATATACTTTCCAGTTTGTTTGATGATAACCAAAATTACCTTGATACCAAAACCTGACAAAGACCTTACAAGAAAGCAAAACTCCAGGCCAGTATCTCTCATAACCATAAAAATCCTGAATAAAAAGTTAGCAAATAGAATATGGCAATATATACAAGGGAGAATATATTCCACCATTTCCTCATAATCTTTCTAAGTTGATTCAGGAACAAAGCAATCACTGTTGGGATTTCTTTAAACATGGATAATGATGATTTTTGCCTAATCTAGAGCATTATGTGATAGAGTCATATTATGTATTCTTTGGTGTCTGGCTTCTGTCATTCAGTGTATCTGAGATTCTTCCACCTTGTGTGTATCAGTAGTTTGTTATTTTTCATTGCTAAGTATCATTTTCTCATGAATATACAGTTGGTTCTCATTATTTGTGGTAGTTGCAGGTCCCAGTCTCTGGGAATACTGAATTAATGCATACTGAATCATTGCTCTTAGGGATTACAGGGATAAGTTACTGTGAGCCTCTTGTTACAATATTTTTGCCAACTGATCAATACATTACCTTTTGAAAATGTAATGTTTCCTCTTAAAGACACCTTATTTAATACATTGTTGATTTATTAACACAACTCATGGCTCACAGCACTATACCTTATACCTGAACACAGCATATTGAACACATGCATTTTCCCTGTAAGGCACATCACAGCCTTCTTGCATTTAGGAACACTAGATAGAACTTTGACAACATGCTTAGGAGCCATTTCAAAAAGCAAAATAATCAGCAAAAAGTACAAAATAAAAAATGTGGCACTGAAGACCACCAGAAGGACACTTGTTTGTAGGATGAGAACAGAAAGAAGAAGGCAATATCTTCTTGTTCTATCTCAGCTGAAAACAAGAGCAATGGGCGACTCAAAACTTTCCCAGCTCTGTGCATGCTTGTACATGTCAGCCAATGACCCTAGACAAACTACATCTAATGATTTTACAGTTACAAATAAATTTTGAGTAGGTGAATCCACAATTTATATCAGAAAAAGGTTTAATTGACTCATGGTTCTGCATTGCTGGGGAGGTCTCAGGAAACTTACAATCATGGTGGAAGGCAAAGGAGAAGCAAGGACCTTCTTCCCAGGGTGGCAGGACAGAGGGAGTGCAAGGAGGGGAAATGCCAGATGCTTATAAAACCATCAGGTATCCTGAGCCTCACTCACTATCATGAGAACAGCATGGGAGAAACCCACCCTCATGATCCAATTACCTCCATCTGGTCCTGCCCTTGATACTTGGGGATTATGGGGATTACAATTCAAGATGAGATTCTGGGTGAGGACACAGCCAAACCATAGCACCCACACTCAGAGGAAACAAAGGAAAGAAGTAACCACGTCTGGGTAGGACTTGCTAAAAGTACTTTTGTATAACTGTTGAGATGCAGTAGGTTTTTGCATGACAGGGACATAATATGTAGAAAAGACAGTTTCCATTCAGGATGGAAGACATGGTGGTATAGATAAGCAGGTTGTAATCAGGGAAGTAGTTAGAGCAGCTGGTCAGAGTAGAGTTGGAGCTAAGATGTTTTGTAGGCAATCTGACCAAAAAAAGTGGCAATCTGGTGGAGTCCACATAATTCAATCACTCGATCTAGATTTACTAGCATTCAGAGAGCTGAGATTGGAGCCCTGATTCTGGCACTGGAAAATATTTCTACTCAGCCCATAAATATTGTAAGTGGCCCACCGAGGTCAGTCAGTAGAGCATAAGACTCTTAATCCCAAAGTCATAGGTTTGTGCCCCATGTGAGGCACCATCTGTGACATTGGTCACATTGGGGTTACCACCTGCTGGGGTCTGTCCTACAGACCCCACCTGTGCGACAGATGAATAAATGCACTCACACACACAGTACAGTGAACAAGTGGACAAAGGGGTTGTGTGCTTCCTGCAGAGTGAGACTGCAGCTACACAACACCCTCTAGTTCTTCCTCACATTTATTCAGTATAGATTTAACAACAAAGGCTTAGCATAAACACACTTGTGGATAATTAACATGGTTAAGAAAGTACTTCTTGAAAAGATTAAAGCTCAGGTACTGATGCCTAGAATGAACACCATTAAAGAATAATTTTCTTAGTCTACCTTCCCCTGAGGGTCATCCAGCTCAAAGGTTACATGAGTAAACAAGCTAGTTAGAGTGGAGACAAAGAAATGTGGGAGTTTATCTAATTATTTAACTAAAGGGACAAGGCTGCCTTCAGCCAAATAATAACAAACCTTTAGGCCTTCCAAAAGTGTTTGTGACTATATTCTATAGCTTTTCTTTAACATTTCTGCCACCATCCTGAGTGAACTACAACAAAGATGTCCAGCAAATCAAGAGACAACAGTGTGTGCTTGGGCGGATGGGTTTTCATGCCTGGGGTGCAGTGTTGGTGATCAGTGCGTATTTTCTTGGACATATACATTTATCTACCTTTCTACCTACCTATCTGTCCTTGATAAAACATTTAACATCAACCTTGTATAGAGTCATGGTGTGGACTCTAGAAGTAGGAGAGGAATATTTTCTCAATCTGGAAATATCTTTAATCTTTTCATGATCAGAAGCAGTCTCATCTGTTTTTTCCCTGACTCTCAATAACTATGCCATGCCCTATTGGTTACCTTTTTCTTCCTTTGTCAGTGATTGTAATAAGAAATTACATAATCATCATAGTATGTATAGATAAATGCCTTCCATTCCTCCTATATTTATTCCTTGGCTCCCTGTCTATCATGGAGATGCTTATCACATATGTTGCTGTTCCCCCGATGCTCAGGGATTGTTATTTTCCGTGATTCAAACAACACCTTAGATGACATGTGTTGTCCAACTCTATATGAACGTTTTTTGCGGGGTACACAAAATTTGCATAACTCTTTGAAGTAAAACATCATTATGAACAGATACACTGTATCTGGTTGGTAATTGTAGTACTGATTGGGTTCCTTTCTGAAATCTGGCCAGTCTATGCCACATTTCAGCTTCCTTCTGTAAATCAACTCAAAATGAATTAAAAACTTACATGCAAGAGCTGAAAGCTGAAATAAAAAGAAGGCAGTTTTCTTAAAAAAAGAAAGCATTTGCCATACTTGACAACATGGATGAACTTAGAGGACATGCTAAGTGAAATACACAGAAGGAAAATATCCCACATATATAAGGTACCTAGAATTAGTCAAACTCATAAGAGCAGAAAATAGAGTGATGTTTCCATGGAAAATGGGAAATTGCTGTTCAATGGGTATAAAGTTTCAGTAATACGAGTAAGTTCTAGAGATCTGATGTATAACTTTGTGTGTATAGTTAACAATACTACTACATAAATATTTATAGCAGCTCTATTCATAATTGTCCCAAGTCAGTGGCAATCAAGATGTCTATTATGGTTGGATTTTGTTCCCCCAAATTCATCCCTTGTAGACTTAACCCCCAGTACCTTAGAATGTGAACTTATTTGAGATAAGGTTGTTGCATGTGTTACTAGGTAAGATGAGGTCATAATGGAGTAGGGTAGACTAAGTACATGACTGATGTTCTTATGAAAAGCCACTTGAAGACATACACAGGAAAAACTGCCTTGTGAACTTAAAATATAAACCAGAAAAGAAATAGAAAAAAAATCAATAAAGCCCAAGTAATGTCTCTGAAAAAATTAATAAAATGAATAAATTACTAGCAAGAATAATCAAGGAAACAAAAGCACACAAAGTACCAATATCAGAAATGAAAGCAAGGGATATCATGATGGAGACAGTGAACCTTGAAAGCATGAAAGTGAATATGAGCAACTTTATGCCAATAAATCCAACAGTTTAAATGAACTAAGCAATTCACTTGAACACAATTTTTCAAAATGGACACAAACTGAAGTAGAAATTCTGAATAGTCACATAGCTATTAAATACATTCAACTTGTAATTAAAAAGTTTCTCACAAATAAAACTCCTGGCCGAAGTGTACTCAATGATGACTTTTGCCAAACAATTTAGGGGAAAATAATACAAATATTTTTTCCCATAAAATAGAAAAAGAGGGCTTATTTTTTCATTAATTTATGATAACTTAAACCTGACAAGGACCTTACAGGAAAGGCAAACCATAGACCAATATATCTCATTAACATAGAGGCCTAACATATTTATTAGGCCAAATATATTTCAGCAATTTAAAAACGGATAATATGGCCAAGAATAGTCTAATAATCTTTCACAGTCAATTTCCTCCCAGAACAAAGGCAATCCTTGTGGGGTTTCTTTTACGGATTTTGTTCATTCTAGAGCATGTTACATTAGGACAATACAGTAAGCATATTTTGATGTCAGATCATTTTATGTAGTGTAATGTATTTGAAATTTATGTTGTATACATCGGTACTTTGTTATTTTTTTCCTGACCATTATTCCCTTATATAAACATGTAGTTGACTCTCATTATTTGGATTAGTTATGTCTTGTAAAGTCTCTGGGATCACTCAATTAGCAAGTAGTGAATCATTGCTAAATAGCATTTCCTCATATGAATATTGAATTATCTTGTTGATGGGTATTTATTTTTTGTCATTATTAGCTATAATAAATATATAATGAATATGATAAATATTTGTGAGAACATGTTTTCATTTGTATTACGCAACTACCTAGAAATATAATTGCTGGGTTGCAGAGTAGATGTATATTAAAGTTAATAAGAAGCAAACATTTTCCCATGGGGTTTTATTATTTTACATTCCTTCCTACTGTTCCATTTTCCATTCTGTCAATGTGTAGTTAATAACCCTGGAAATATGTCTGGAGAAACCTAACCATTCCTTGACTTAGGGAATTTGGTTCTGTAATTTGCTCTCTCACACAGAAGTTCCATCCTCCTCGGACTTCCTCATTTCTCAGCACCCTTCCTTCACATTTCTCTACCTGTCATAACGTGACTCAGCACAGCCACCTGGGAAGTTGTCAGCACAGTTCCCATGACCGAGGAGCCACAGTTGGAATGCCTGCATGTTGCAGACATTGGAATGGGCTGTAGCATTAACAGTCCATGAGATTGGAGCAGGTGGCAAGATCCTGTCTGTTACTTACCAGGGTTCCCATAGGCAGAGGGTTTCTGATAGAAGGAATGCAGAGATCATCTGGAAAGATGTGTTTCATAATACTTGGAAATGAAGAGAAAATGTTTGATAAAATTCCATTTGGTTGCCTCTAGAATTTTGCTATGTGCCTTGGAGTCACCAGTGGGGCCATCACGGCAAGTAGGGAGCTTAGGCTCCATAGGGCCACGTGGAATCAGGGAGAGGTATGGAGCAGCTCAGGGGGCTAACCATTCACAGCCTGGATTGTATGGTGATAACTTAGAGCCTGAAGAGTGTTGAGAGGTTCCTGATGGGGGAGATTTCAAGTTTGCCCATTAGACAACTATTCGGTGTTCTAAAACTTGATTAACCTTAGGAGGGAAGGGTGAATGTTTTCGGCAGCTTTTCCTTGACAGCATCCCTGGTGTGTCTCTGAACTTATATAAATTGTTCCTCAGTGAATAATTATCCTTGGAGACAGACAAGGGAGTGAGAGAAGGAAGCAAAGAGAAGGAGAGAGATAGAGACAGTTGGACTCTCTCCTCAGCACTCGTATTTCTGGACTTTTGCCTAAGCTTCTGTGCAAGGACAGACTCTGAACGGAGACAGAAGCGTCTGTCCCTGTCTCCTGAGCATAGCTCAGAACTAGCTGGGAGGGAGGTAGCCTGGGCTTGTCCCTGGGGAGCAGTAGAACTTTCCAGTCCAGGCTGGTTCTCCGGAGGTGGGTGTCTTGCAGAGGAGGTTCCTCTCTGTGAAGTACAGAGTAGGAGAGCATCATGATGGGAGGACCAGGGCTTCGCTGCCTCCTAGAACAAGGATACCTAGAGCCTGAAGCCTGGACGGGGGGTTGCACAGAGGATGAGCTCTACAGCAAAGCCTCCCTCCAGAGCAGAGTGCAGAATCATTTCTTCTCTGCCCTGTACTGGTGAAAGGCACAATGCTTTGCCACTACCCAAGTCCCTGCTCTCTCATTTCTTCCCATTCCTTCCATGTATCTACCTGCCACATTGGTGAGGAGCTCCAGGGAGAGGGATTGCAGGTTGACTTTATGTTGCTTCAGAGAAGAATGAATGGAGAGAAGGAGAGTCTGGCTTATAGTCCTTGTTCATTCACTGATTTTTTTTTTTAAATCTATTCACTGATATATTCATTTAAAATATAGAGTGCATATTCTGTTCTAGTGTCAGACTCTGTTCTTGGCACTGGTAATATAAGAGAGAGAAAATGAACAAGAAAGAGAAATGATCCACCTATGAAGTATTTAATTAAATATAGGATTTTGATGATAAATTAATAAAGAAGAAATAGTATAATGTGATTGGAAATATTGGTGAGGACAATTAGTAAGAAAAATATAGTCTAACACAGGTTTGAGAGGAAAGGTATGCCTATATTGTTGTAGAGAAGCTGAGTGGGAAGGGGCCCATGAAGAGGAAACATTTGAGCAAATAACAGAATGTGATAAGGGAAGGAATCCAGACATTCTAAGGAGTTCAGAGTGATCCATTTTGGTGTCTTCTGACACTTTTCATTACCCCAGGACTTTGAAGAAAATAGGCAGTCACAGAGGAGCAGATCTTTGTGGAACTTCCAAGCTGCTCTAACAGACTGAGACCATGGTAAGTTGGATGCAGGCACAGACTTCCCATTGGGAGGTCTTGTCTCCCTGTTGAAACAGGTGCTGAGAACTGGGCAACACAGAGGATATATTGCCTCTACCCCATAGCTATTTTCTTGTGTCCTGGCCCAAAGAGGAGGCTGTGTTGGGAGTTGGGGATTAAAGTTCCAGCCTCTTCACTCCTGGACTTCTCCTCCTCCTCTTTGCCATCTGGTCACAAGAGGGATCAAAATCTGAGAGCTAGAAATTGTTAACTGGGAATTGGCCAGACTCTGCCTGTGTGTGGGAGACACATTCACTTAGATAAGAAGTGGGGATGGTTTTCATTATAAAAATAAGGAAGAAGAAGTAGGTAATCCACTTAAGGGAGACAGTACCCCAGAAGTCAGGGAAAGATTCAATACTTTGTCTTAAAATGGCTCTTGCCTTGTGACAATGTCCTGGATAGACCTCACTTTCCAACATCACCCCCCTAAATGGTAAATGTAACTCAGGTGAAACTTTTAAATGAACATAATGCAAATAGAGCCTATGTTTAGAGGATACAGAAGACAAAAGTAACCATGCCTGTCTGAGATTGGCTATAAATACTTTCTTATAATTGTTTAGATGCATTAGGATTTGCAAGATGGAGACATAATAGGCAGAAAAGACAATTTAGCTCCACCCAAGATGATAGAAGCATTGGTGTAAGTGAACAGGTTGTGATCATGGCAGTAGACAGGTGGCCAATGAAAGCAGAGTTGGAGGCAGGATGTCCAGTGTATTGAGAAAGAGTGCATGCCAGGGTGGGTGGGTTTTCATGTTTATCACTTGGTGTTCATGACTGGATTTCCTCTTCTTGAACATATACATTTATCTTCAGAAGATATACATTCATAAAGCATTTGACATCAACCTTGCGTAGAAAATAGTAGAGTCAGGTTATGGAGTTGAGGAGCAGGAGAGGAATGTCTTTTCAACCTGAAATGTCTTTAATCATTTTAGGATGAGAAGCAGTGTTCTCTCTCTTTTGCTCTCTGGATTTCACAAAGAGCAAGGGTTTAGAACTAAATGTTGATGAATTACTCTAATGCTACTGAATTTTATCTCCTTGGCTTCCCTGGGTCTGAAGAATCACATCATATCCTTTTTGCTATATTCTTCTTTTTCTACTTGGTGACATTAATGGGAAACATGGTCATCATCGTGATTGTCTGTGTGGATAAACGTCTGCAGTCCCCCATGTATTTCTTCCTTGGCCACCTCTCTGTCCTGGAGATTCTGGTCACAACCATTATCATCCCTGTGATGCTTTGGGGAATTGCTGCTGCCTGGAATGCAGGCAATATCTTTGTCTGCCTGTGTTGTCCAACTCTTCCTGTACCTTGCTGTGGGGACAACGGAGTTTGCATTACTTGGAGCAATGGCTGTGGACCACTATGTGGCTGTGTGTAACCCTTTGAGGTACAACATCATTGTGAACAGATGCACCTACAACATTGTGGTTCTTCTGTCATGGATTTTTGGGTTCCTTTTTCAAATCTGGCCAGTCTATGCCACGTTTCAGCTTACTTACTACAAATCAAATGTGGTGAACAATTTTTTCTGTGACTGAGGGCAATTGTTCAAATTATCCTGCAATAATACTCTTTTCACAGAGTTTATCCACTTCTTAATGGCTGTTTTCGTTCTTTTTGGTTCTTTGATCCCTACAATTGTCTCCTACACCTACATCATCTCCACCATCCTCAAGATCCTCTGGCCGGAGGAAAGCCTTCTCCACCTGTGCCTCCCACTTCACCTGTGTTGTGATTGGCTACAGCAGCTGCTTGTTTCTCTGTGAAACCCAAGCAAACACAGGCAGCTGATTACAATCGGGTCGTTTCCCTGATGGTTTCAGTAGTAACTCCTTTCCTCAATCCTTTTATCTTCGCCCTCCGGAATGATAAAGCCATAGAGATCCTTCGTGATAGGGTGAAACACTGCTGTCAACTATTCAGGAATTAGCCCTGCTCTGAGGCATTTTACATGGTAAAGCACTTAGTATGGATTCTAGAATAATCTGAAAAAAAACTTGCTAATCTTTGAGCTGCATCATAATTATTACCATTACCAAATAATTTGGGTGCAACAAAAGAGTTTTAAATTACAGCTTCAGTTTTTAAATATAGTTAGTTGTTATTTGAAATTCAGTTTATTATTTTTAAGACATGTCTGGCTATCTATCTGTCATCTGCCTTTCTTAAGATATGATGATTTTACAATTAAACTTTGAAAAAAATGAATGTTAGAGATAGCCTACATAGTCTAGAAAGGAGACTAGTGGTTGCTTAGGGCTGAGGGGAATGCAGACATGGGATAGTGATAGCTAAGGGGTGCAGGCTTTCTTTTTGAGGTGATGGTTATAAATATGAATATACCAAAAACCACTGAACTGTACATTTTCAATGAATTAATTTTATGGGATGTGAATTATATTTCAATAAAGCTATTGGAAATAGTGTATTAGATGTTGAAGAAGTATTATGAAGAAAAGTGAAACAGGAATGAAAGGGAATATATCTTGGGGGAGTGCTGAAATTTCAAATAAGGCTTTCAGGGAGGGACTGAGAGAGATAAGGTGGTGATACATTTGGAAACCTTTTAAAAGAACATTCCAGGCATAGTGAGTAATAAGTGGGAGATCCTAGGGAAGGCATAGCAAAGACGCTGAGATGGAGTGTGCAAGGGAGAAGGTAACAGCAAGTGCAATCAGAGCAGTCATTGGAAAGTAGACCATGTACAGCCTTGTGAGCCTTTTAAAGACGTTTGCTCTTTCCAGAAGCACATTGGAAAACCATCACAGGGGGACTGAAGAAGAGTGACAGAATCTGCTTAATGTTGTAGCAAGATCATCCTGGTTGTTGAATGGACAATACGCTAAAGGACAATAAAGGGAGTTGGAGGGAGGCCAGATGGAGATTGCATCAGTTAGATTTTGCTATACAGGAGATAACCAGAAAACTCCAGTGGTACACAGCTACAAGCTCTTATTTTCATCTTTTCTTTCTTTTTTTGAGACGGAGTTGTGCTGTTACCCAGGTTGGAGTGCAATGGCGCTATCTCGGCTCACCGCAACCTCCGCCTCCTGGGTTCAAGCAATTCTCCTGACTTAGCCTCCCAAGTTTATTTTCGTGCTTAAAGTTTCAGCTGACATAGGGTGGTTCAGCTGATCTCAGGTGGATTTGTTCATGAGTCTAAGGGTTGGATGGGGGTTGGCTGACTTAGGCTGGGCCACATTTGAAGTCATGAAAAGTGTGCCTTTGATCTTCATGTGGCTTGGCCACAACATTTTTAAAGCACCCTTCTCTGACTTGGACATATTTTTATTCCCATATCATAAATAAGTAAACAAGTTATGAAAAATTAAGTGGCTTGCCTACATTAAGCTTAGCAAATTGAAAAGCTACTTCTTGGATGCAGATCACAAGTTCAAATCCTCCACAAAATGTTTCTCCTAATGTCTAATGCCATTGAGATACATAGAGGAATGTTGTTTAATATGTGCAAGAATTTTTTGAGATAGGCATTACTACTCTATTTTATCAGTAAGGAAACTAAGACAAAGAAAGAGTAAGAACACTGCAAGGATTCACACAGCATATTAGAAGCAAAGTCAAAACTCAAATTCAATGGTTTGCTAAATTTTCATTGCTTTTTTTTTTTTTTAAAGCAGGCCACTGCTATCTAATAAAAATCACATTTTCCTAAGCTTCCAAGGATCCAGAAACTCCCCCAATGATGAATTTAAACCAAAGCCCACATATTTCCTGTCTACTCCCCACCCTCACCCCAGGCTACTGGGCTCCTTTTAGAACTTGCAGAGAAATATCTCCTTATCTTGTGGGAAATTTAAGCTGTCTACTAAAGACATCACTAGATGTCTAAATTTCCTGATCTTAAAAGTTTGCAGTTATTCTGTCATGAAATAGGAAGTGAAGCAACTATAGTTCTTTCTTCTCAAAACAGAAGGATTAGGATTTCCTTTCTGTTGTCTGAGTTCTATGGCTTGCCTTTGGCTAGAGTGCTGTTGAGTCTTTTCTCCACCTAGACTGAGCCTTTCTTCCCTTCTCATTGTAGCACTTATTATTATTATTTTTTATTAATGTACTTTAGGTTCTGGGGTACCTGTGCAGATCATGCAGGATTTCTGCATAGGTACAAACATGGCAATGTGGTTTGCTGCCTCCAACCCCCCATCACCTGTATCGGCATTTCTCCTCATGTTATTCCTCCCCAGCCGTAGAACTTATTCTTTACCAACACAGTCAGAGAACTTGTATCTCCACCAGCTACTAATATAATTACAATATCCACCCCATCTCAAACACGAATTATTCCCGGTAACTCCCTTCAAGCAAGTTCTGACACCTGATGTGTTATTTAAAAAAAATTGTAAGTGGCCATGCTAAGGAGCCAAAAATGATGAAACCTAGGAATGCAGAAACAGAACTTAGTGTTGTAATAAAAAACATAATTTACAACAATTTAGTTTGGTATGCATATAATGATATGTATAGTAATTACTGTGGTTCATTGTTATTGGACACAAAATGGTAAGCACTATATTTAGGTGACTATTATTTCCTTCAGTTTTTATACATGGTCTTCCTTATGGTTTAATTATTGTTACTCAGAACACACAAGGCATCTCTTTCCTCTTTCTCATGCACCAAGCAGGGTATGTAGCTGATGTCTTGTGAGTGTAGAGGGCAGCAGGGTACTACAATACTTTTCTTCCTCTTTCTTGCCTTTCTTCCTGTGTTGCCAAATGAACGCCTGTTTCTTGTCTCAGGTGATTTCTATTTGACCCTGATGTTCCCTTTCTACTATGTGCTTACTCCTTGCCCCCAGCCAATGCTTTCCTGAGCAGCCCTCCTCTTTTTCTACTGCTTTGTCAGCTGGACCAGCTCTAGATCAATGTGATGCCAACAGGTGCCAGGCTCCTTGGGTCAGTAGGCTGTGCCTGGTATCAGGCTCTCTCTAGAACTGAAGGCACAAATATATTGAGATTATCAGTGCCCAAGAGTCTATCCAAAATTCTTAAAATATACTCAACAAATATAGCCAGGTACTCAAAACCTTCAGAGCAAAAGATATCTGCTTACCTAAATTTTGGTTGCAAAGGAATTACATATGTTATGATGGGATTTCAGAAATACGACAAGGGAATTTTTAGCTTGAGTGTCTCTTCAGGGCTTTGCTGAAGAACAGAAGTCTAGTGTGTTTGGTTTCCTTGGCTGTCTGGATTTCTTCAAAGGGGTCCCCAAGAAGGTTCCTATCCTGCCCAGACCTCTCTCCATTCCCATAAACAGTGCTGCTGTCTGTGCTCCAAGCTCGGCACTAGGAGCCCTCCCCAAGGCACAGCCTTAGTTCAGACTGAGGAGAGCTACTACCCCAGCTTGTGGAGTTGAAAGGGGCATGTGAATCGAGTTCCCTTGAGAACAGAGATGAGGTCACAGGAGCTACGTTTATCCCTCTTCCACCATGCTACTCACTAAATAATGTTTACAATTCCTCAGTCTACAGTTGCTCCCTGGTAGTGTGGTATGTACTCTAAGGCTGAAATAAAACAAACTCTGCCAATAGACTAGGCCCTTTTGATCAGTCAGAAATGCTCAGAGCTACAGAAGCAGACCTTATCTCTATACCAACTGAGTTGTCTCCATAAAACTGATCCTGTCTCCTGGAGATGGCTAGCATCCAGTCCCCCGGTGCAGAAGAATGAAGCTTGGTTTCCCAAACAGGCAAGGACCACTATTGGTAGACAGACAGGTAAAAGAATCATTGACCAGATGACCTGCATGGATTCAGAAAGAGTTGCAAGTACGATTCTTGTCACAGGGAACTGTGATCATTTGGCATTCTTCTCACAGATCCTGCGGTAGCTGATGTCACATGATGCAGCATCAAGTGTCTTGGTGAGCCCAATGGTCACACAGTTGAAATTCTGATTCTGATTGGTAACGCTAAATGAGAAAAAAAATTAAAGGATGATGATGGCCCACCTTTTTAGCCCAGCCTCTTCCTGATTCCAGAGTGAGAGTCTCGCAGTTTTGCCTGGAAGGGCAGCGGACTGTGGGGCCCACGCACGCCTCTACTTGGGCAGCCTCCTTTATAGCTCAAATCCCTCTCCTAATCCAGTTCCCCAGATGCAGCTCTAAACTGATCCTTTCCTGTCAGCTCTCCTGTGAGCTTGTATGGCTTGACAAAGTCTTGGATCACCTCACTCTGGTGTTTGGTTAGAAGCATCTCATGGGCGGTCTCTTCTTCCAAAAGTGTTGTTGAGGACAGTATGTGTGTTCACAGTGGGAGGACAGAAAGAAAAAGGAGAGAGGTTGTGCATCCCTTTCCAGACCGTAATGGCTTCAGAAAAACTTGGTGGAGTATGTGTTGAGTATGTGTTGGTTCTCCCACCTCTTTTTCTGTCATTTAGTTTGTTTCAGTCTGACTGAAAAGACTCTGGTTTCACAGAAAGGTCATGAGTTTTGGACTAGCTTTGTGATATATATGTATTTTTTTTTTTTTTTTTTTTTTAGCCGAAGTCTCACTCTGTCACCCAGGCTGGAGTGCAGTGGCACAATCTCGGCTTGTTGCAACCTCCGACTCCAGGGTTCAAGCAATTCTTCTGCCTCAGCCTCCCAAGTAGCTGGGACTACAGGCATGTGCCACCACGTCCAGCTAATTCTTTTGCATTTTTAGTAGAGATGAGGTTTCACCATATTGGTTGGGTTGGTCTCGAACTCCTGACCTCATGATCCACCTGGCTTGGCCTCCAAAAGTACTGGGATTACAGGCATGAGCCACCACATCTGGCCCCTGCTTTGTGATATTTAACACATTTCTAAGCTTTTCTTGTCCTCAATTCAACTGTCTGTGAAATGGGGAGTGATAAAAACTTTTCATGTAGCATCATGGGGAATATCTCAGGAAACAACATATGCAAAGTGTTTAGCATAGTGCTGACATTAGCA